ACACACACACACACACACATACACACACACACACACACACACACTCTCACTCTATAAATACTCACATGGCCATCACAGCCAATTACCCTCAGTGGAGCCGTGCCTCTCTGCCCCAGACGCCCAACTCACTCCTCCTCGGACCCCCTTCAGCACTGTTCTTCACTGAGACAGATTCTGAGGATGCTGGACTAGATGCCCCCTACAGCTGTCACTTACACACACCATATGCATGTTTTAACACTCCATTTTCAATAGACTTGAAAAACATTACACTTGTTTTACCTGAGGGCATAAGAGAGATTTTCCATAATGTCCCACAGACAGTGTTGACACTAGAGTAAGTATTTATATATGATAGCATACATCATTCACAGAGACATAAGAAGGCCATCTGATACCAAAAAATGTATCCAACATTTAAACAAATGAATGTAGTTGATAATATATTATAAAACGGCTTTCTAGAATTGATTATGACTGGTCAATCACAGCATTCAGTGATTAGATGTTTCTGTATAGTGACTAGACTTGTGCCGGTATTCGGTAATGCGATATATCACGGTAATGAATATGCACGATATTGTTATCGTGGGCACTTCTAAATACCGTGAATAATTATATATTACAAATTATTCAGAATTTTGAATGCATTTTAAGAATACTTTTCCCATCAACTGGTCAAAATGCACAACACCGCTGTATGCTGTGTGAAATACGCTTGCGCACTCTGAGGTAAACAAGCACGGACGAGAAGCACATGGCGGAACATGTGAGAGTGACCAATGAATGTTAAATGGTGGTTGACTAATAAAATGAAATAAAATAAATAAAAATAAAATAAAAAATAAAATGTAATGAATTAGCTTATAACATTACTCTCTGGAATACCTGACTGATTATTCTACAATCAAAATAAAATTAAAATATGACAGCTGCAGGGCAATCAAGATAAGTATATAATATGTACTTACACAAAATGGTTGGAAATTTGGCCAATTTCAAGGTTGATGATGGCAGAGACTTCTAAGACCTGTAAAGCCAAAAAAACACACAAAAAAACGGGTTTTATGATCATTTCCATGTGTTCCATCATGTGTTGATTCACCAGTATTCATTTATTATTATTGCTCTAATTTTAGCTTGCACCTACATACAGCCGGTTTTTAATAGAGAAAGTCACATAGAAGGAAAACTTATTAACTCTCTCTTTCAGTTTTCTGTCCTCTACCTGCAGACATGAGAGGCTTTAATATCCACCCTATTTTTCAAAGTAAACCGTTTTCTGTGAATGTGCGAGACTTCCGGTTCATTAGCCGCTTTAGGGAAATAATGAGAAGAATAACAAAGTGCAGTAAATGGTAAAACTGTTTGTACTACAAACCAGTGTGTTCATAATAAAGATAATACGTTAAAATAATATGGTAAGACACCAGTTTGCAATATCAAACAGCAAAATGAGCTGTTTTGTACAGCTAAAAATAGCTGGAAGCGAATGACACCAGAAGCCAGACACATAAAATTTTACATTACAAATGGCTGTGCCCACTCTTATGGGAAAAATAAGGTGGATAACATGAGGCATTACACTTCACATCAACATCTGTGGCCCTGAAGACAGACGAGATTACTGAGTAGCCTACTGGACAGGAGCTGTGTAATCTTGACCTCTGAGAAACAGGAGCTTGACCTCTGTCAAACAAAAAGATTACAAGGCCTTGTCTGACTTGACATAATATTGAGAGGAAGAGAGGAAGTGAAGGAGAAAGAACAGTGAAAAAGAAATCAGGGAGTGAGAGAGATGTGACAAATATAGAAATGGATGAAGTGCTGATAGATGGGTAGAGTGAGTCCTGCTGACGCCTCGTTCTCCTGTGGCACACAGCACAGACTGATCTCTATGGACATGAAAGACGCTGAGTAGGAGAACATACAGGAAATACCTTCCGCCAATACACTGTGTGGATGTAAGCATGCTCAAGACATGCTAGAGATGTGCGACTTGGGGACAGCTTGTCTGTGACCATTACATTTCCCAGTTGCACAATTCTGAAATGTCCTGAACACAAGGTTCATATTTGACCTAACACCATTTGTGCTGTGAACATGTATGATATATCATATGGCTTGCTTAGGAGAGGTGTGTTTTCCCTTTTTTTCCTGGTAGACAATAAAATGGGTGGAATAATCCCATAGATTTAGGCCACATATACACAGCATCAGAATATAGTTGTCAGCCCTGTATTTGAGTCCTTAATATGGTTACATTCAAACACAGTACAGTCATTTAAGGTTATTGGTAAGGAATACGGGCTTGAGTACCATTGCACATTCATACAGACAATATTCGAGATGCTACTGTAAGTTACTATGTGAACGTGACATTTCGAGACTTACACCTTTAAGTAAATGTGATTGTCAGTCCCAAAAACTGACAGTGTGAACATAGCCTTATACTGAGGGAAGGGCTCAAGTCATTCCTAATGGCCAAAATATTCAGCCAACAAGCAACCTATCCGGAACACTGTAGTAACTGCAAAGCAACATGCTAAGAAACAGTGAACAACTATATATAAACCACCTAGAACATTATATCAACCACCTACTGTAGCAATCCATTCGTAGCAACATGCTCATAAATCCTAAGCACACCCTTGCAACCTCCTAGTAACACCCTACTAACGGTATACTGTACTAAAACACTGAAACTCCTCAGAACATCCTAGCAACCACCTAGTAAACCCCCAGATCACACAACAACCACTCTTCCAACTACAAAGTAAAAGAACAGCAACACTGCAGTGCACCCTAGAAACTGAATTTAAACACAGAATTTGCCAAATTTTGGATGAATAAATCAAAAGTAGGTCAGTACACTTAAATCAAAATGCGATATGGACTAGTGTCAGTGAATATTAAGCCGCAAAAATACCATTTAAATATGAGTCCTGCATGTCCATGCTTGCAGTGTTTTTAGACTCTGCTGCCTCAATATATGAATACATAAACAATCTCTACAACTGCTCTGAGAGTCACTTCATGAGCATTTTACTGTTTCTTTTGAGTAAAACTATCATCATAGCATATACAAACAGAAACCTTCACAGGTCTTCACAGGAACCCATCAAAATAAAAGTTCAGTTTAACTTGAAGAAACTGTGACCAAAATATTACTAAATATAATGATTGTACTACTACTACTAATACAATTATTATTAAAACATAATTTTAAAGGAATATTTACCAGGAAGTTTTTTTAGCAAAAAAATGTAAATACACAACACAGTATTTCTGGAAATAAATAAATAAATAAAATAACAATAAATTAGCATTTTTCCACTAAAATCACTTAATTAGAGATGTTTTTTATTATTAATATTTAATGACACTATTAAAATGGAATCTAGAAAATTAAAGGAAAACAGAACAGGGCTCGCAAAATCGCTAGCCCGACGTCCCGGGGCTAATGTTTTTTCCAGTCGGGCTACCAAAATGTATCACCACTCTGCCCAACGGGCTATCTTAAATGCAGATCTCCCGCGGGTCCTTAAAAACTCAAAGTGAGTTGTATCAAACTTAAGGCCATGAAAAGTTTAAATATGTTAATTGGTATAAGAAATGTCTTAATTATAATTTCAAGAGGTCTTGGGGACTGAAAGACAAGAGTCGCGATACGGCTGGATTAAACTTCAAAAGGCAATGATGTCATTGAATAAATATGAGCGCTGCACGTTTCAAGTCAAAACGTGGCGCGGATGTCTTTATTTGAATGTATCTGAAGGGAACCGACTGTCGTGGGGAAAAGACGTGAAATAAAAAGCACCCTTCCACAAAAAAAAGTGTCTCACACGGCTCCAGGGGGTGAACAAAGGCCTCCTGTAGCGAATCGATGGTATTTCACGTCTTTTGAACCGAAGGAATGCAACACCCGCTGAGTACAACGATAGAGCTTGAAAGATCAAAGACAATTTTTAATATAACTCTGACTGGATTCGTCTGAAAGAAGAAAGTCACATACACCTAGGATGCATGGGGGGTGAGTGAAACGCAGCCTGATTTTCATTTTGCGATGAACTAACCCTTTAAAATACATACATTATAGCAATGGGGCAATAATAATTAGTTCAAATAAAGTATTAAAAGCAAGTAATAATATAGTTTTATAATAAACAAAATATAACAAAACTCTTAAAATACATAAATTATTATAAACAGAGCTAATGTACATTACGCATTGTAAAATGTCTGCAGAGGGCGCCAACGGCCTGACGATTGTTTTTACACTTTACTGCACGATCTAATCTTTGTTTAATATTGACTAAACAATATTTAATTCAAATGTCCACTTAATCTTTAATATTTGGCCACTTCTTTATGACATAAATGCTACAGCCACTGTAATTTTTTTAATATGTGGACATCAAAATGTGTAAACTCAGAGTGAGGGTTTAAGCTTTTATTTTGAAATCACAATGAACAGCTAGCATATTTAGAAAGATATTGATTATCCTGTGTTTGCCTAGGTTTATAAATTATTTCCCTTTCAAATCTGATGAAATGGTGCACTTTGCATTCCCAGATGAACGTAATAAACCCAAACTCACAGCAAGATGTAGAGATGGCGTTTAAGATGCTCCACGCATTTAAATGATAACTGTTTGTGTGGAGCAGCATTTACTGTGAATGGAGACGCTCTGAGACGCAGGTACGTAACCTACAGGCATGTATATATTTAAAGCACATATATTAAACCTGCATCGCATATATTTATTTAATTTAATTATAGTGTTTCTGAATTCATAATAGCATTATGCTTTTATATATTTTTATGGGCTTTTTCCTTTTATTGAGATAGGACAGCACAGAGATGACAGGAAAGCATGGGATGGAAAGAGGGGAGCGGGATCGACAAAGAACCTCGAGACAGGAATCGAATTCGGGTCACCGTGAGCGCAATTGCACTGTGTCAATACACTTGGCGCCAACAGCATTATGCTTTATTATCATTTTTAAATGGGTTTAATATACCATGCAGCCTTGGAAAAAGGTCTAATAATGCGTTCCGTGGATTCTCCGTGGAATGCGCCACTTCCGGTATTTTGCTGGTTACGCGACAAAATGCAATCAAGGATTTTTTTAAATCAAGTACTCGAATTGAATAGAGGAATCATGACAGCCCTATTTTTGTGTAACAAATGTGGACAGTTCTGAGGGAAAGGACAGGCATGAGGACATGTCAAACCAAAAACACCCACAAAATCCGGGAGGAAGGTGGTCTGAACTTCTGTTCTCGTTGACAACCAGACAACCCATCAGTCACGCAATCATACACACAGCCTCTTGCTCACACTTCACCAGACCCCTTCCCAGGAGCTCAGAAAAGGTTCTTCCTGCCTCCCTCGAAGCGCAATGTTTACATGCTCCTTTAGTTTTACATCTATTGTCTGTTTGTCACCCAAATATCTCATATTGTCCAGTAACATCTGCTCCTCACAGAATACACGTCCTGTGTGACCTCTGACACCGTCCATTACCGGATCTTATTAGCCTTTACAGGTCAGAAGGCCACAGTAATAACAGTCCACGCAGATGTGCAAAGCGGTCCAATATGCAATGTCCTCCAACTAAAGCTGGGTTGTGGACATACTTATGCTTTAACTTGCACTAAAGGTGCTGGACAAATAAACTAAGACTTCAGTGAAGGTAAGACAGACGAGTGTGCAGAGCTGTGTGGATCACATGGTTGGCAGGAGCGACGGTTTAATGTTGCAGAATGACCTAGTTATACCAGGAGAGAGGATGGAGAGAATAGATGCGGGGAGGGGGCGGCAGGGAGAGGAAAGGGAGGGGACGCAGAAAAGGGGGACCTTGGAGGAGCAGAATGAAAAGTAGTTTGGTGGAAAGTGAGAGGAAGACGGGAGGAGGAAGGAAGATGGTGGAAAAGCAATGGAGTGAAAGAGGCGTATCCCCAGCCCTGAGGGGAACAATAAATCAATCCTGCCTCTTCCTGATTAGAGCCGAAACTCTTCCTAC